CTTATACCATCAACAGATTATTATTTTTTGTAACTCATGCATTAAGTAGGCTTAGGCTAAGAACATTAATGCATGAGTTTCACCTTGACTAATGACTTGAGTTGTAAGTGATAGAACTCATCATTACTGCTTTGTATTTATCTCCAGTGAGATATTTAATTCCTAAAGATGCTCCTTACTACTTGCCTGACAATCTCAGTGATGGGGCCCATTTACAGGAATGCCCAGTTGGAACATACAAAACTGATGAAGGTTCTGATCCTTTACTATGTACTGCCTGTCCTCTTGAGTTTCTTCCCAGTCGTGCTGATTTTATTTACATACGAGGTGATATTAATGTGCTTCCTTATGATTTACTATGAGATATTTAATTTTTAAATATGATATTTACTGCTTGTCCTTATGAGTACTTGCTTATACTTATTTTCCAGTCACTGGCACTAAATCATTTACATTTTCCAGTGCAATAGTTGATATGTTAGCTTAAATATAACACCGCAGGAGGAGTTACCCAATCACCTTGTCCATACAAATGTATATCGGACAAGTATAGGATGCCAAACTGCTATACACCCTTGGAGGAGTTGATATATACGTTTGGAGGACCCTGGCCTTTCTCATTACTGCTATCTTGCATTGTGATTATCCTATCAATATTGCTAAGCACATTGAGAAAAAAGTTGATAGGGCCTGGCTTTTCTCATCAGACTTCAAATTCAATTAATCATCATGGGAATCACCATTTCCCATACCTCCTTTCTCTATCAGAGGTACATATCCCTAAGCATATTTTTAACATTTTAATCTTTTGCTACAGTTGGATACAGCACATTTTAATCTTTGCTCGTATGTAAGCTCTTTTGCTTTAAATTACTTTTAGGTCCGCGGTACGAAAAGTGAAGAAACTCAAAGTCATGTTTATAGGATGTACTTTATGGGTCCCAACACATTTAGGGAACCCTGGCATCTTCCTTACTCGCCGCCTGATGCAATTATTGAGATTGTGTAAGTGAAAACACTAACTGCTAGTGGATTTGTTGACATGACCGGCATTGGTGTCGGTGTAATTATGCTAGGCAGTTGTTGGTATGACTTTTTGAATTTATTGAACAAAATCCTTTTTTACTGTTCTGATCAGCCTTTCTCATATGTGGTTCTAATTTTTGGTAGGATTTCCTTTTTTGGTAGTTTTCTTTATTTAGGGTCCTATGAATTTCAATTTTAATGATTTCATCTTCTTCATCAAGGTATGAGACGATCTCATCACTCCCATGGTAATATCAAACATGTACCAACCTGCAATACTTTAAAAGTTAAAATTAGTAAGTTTTAAAAACATTATTTCGAAAAGTATTACTTTCAAATTTCAAAAAATTACCTTATTGCACACTTGCTCTTAATTGTTTTGACCTAAAATTGCTTCATTGGTATGGAACCTGACAGGAGAATTGGAGTTTGCACATTAGAAATGACCTTGTTTTCTATATGTAAATTATATAATGTTCATTCTGTGTCTGAACTTTAAGCGTTACAGGTATGAAGATGCATTTAACAGATTCATTGATGAGTTCAACTCTGTTGCTGCTTATGATTGGTGGGAAGGGTCTGTGCACAGCATACTTGCTGTGCTTGCATACCCTTGTGCATGGTCCTGGAAGCAATGGCGGCGTAGGAAAAAAATTCATCGCCTTCAGGAGTATGTCAAGTCTGAGTATGATCATTCCTGTTTACGTTCTTGCCGCTCACGTGCCTTATATAAAGGAATGAAGGTGTAAGCTTTATCTCGGCACTTAACTTTCTGCACATATCTTATTAAATTTTTTTTGTTCTGTGCTGGAATTATAGGGGCTTGGCATGCATTTTTCTCTTCAGGTTTTATCCCTCCGTCCCAAAAAAAAGTCTCGTTTAAAAACTTATGATCAAAGTACTCCGTACAATGTAAATTTTCTCCAAAACAAAAAGAGTTCGAAGGGTAAATAGCTCCGGTGCTCCCCCCCCTCTGTGGTTTGGAAAATGGGCACCAATGCCTTCCTCTTTTTTAATATATACATTTCCCATAGTTTAAAAATGTTGCACATGCACCCCCTCCTACTATATTCTGTTCATTTTTTGACAAAGAGGGGGCACCAAAGCCCATTTTCCTGTTTTCTGATCATTCATTGGTTTCTTTTTTAGAATATTACAAAAAATCAAAAGTGTTTGTATTTGAAATAAATAACAATTGAAATGAAAAATTAACCTGTATCAAATTAAACATTTTCATTTTTTGTTGTTTCAAAACAAAAATAAAAACTTTTTTTGGACATTCAAATAAGAAAATGAAGAATAGGAAACGGAAATGAAATAAAATATAAAAAGAATATAAAAAGAAAATGAAAAAAATAAAAAGATACAAAAAATTACTCTTATAGAAAAGGGAAAACATAACCATGGAGTGTGTTCATATGGTTTTTTTTTGGAGCGTCCAACAATTCATATTTTTTTGGATAAGGTTCTTTTTCTGGACGCCCCAAAAAATCAGGACTTATTTGGAGCGACACCCAACATATTCAAAAAATTGAAAAAAGTCTTCTTTCTAATATTAAAATAAAAAGAATAACCTTTTTTTGGGACATCCAAAAATGACATTATGGGATGTCCCAAAAGAACCTTACTAGCGCACCCCCTCGCTACGTTTTCCCTTTTCTACAAGAGTATTTTTGTATCTTTTTTCTTTTTGTATTTTCTTTTCTATTTTTTAAATTTCGTTGATCTATTACTCATTTTCTTTTTTGGACATCCCAAAAAGGTTTTTCTTTATATTCGGGAAAACAAAAAATGAAAATGTTCTATTCCTCATTTTCTTTTTTAAACGTCCCAAAAGAAATTCTTTTTATTTTGGAAAACAAAAATGAAAATAATTAATTCGAGGTAGATAGAATATATGTTAATTTTTTCATATTATTTATTTATTATTTCAAACTCAATCAATTTTGAATTTTTAGAACATTATAAAAACAAGTTGAAAAAAGAAATTTAAAACTTAATGAAAAATGAAAAGAAAGAGAAGAAAAAAGAGAAGCAAAAGAAAAAAACAAAAAAAAAGAACAGAAAATAGGCTCCGGTGCCCTTGTGGTTTGGAAAATGGGCACCAATGCCCCCCCCCCCCCCCACATCAAACTTAAGTTGTACTTAGACGGAACATAACCCTTTTTCGGGAGGGAATACTTGTGTGTTCTTGCTGTCTTATTGCCACTTCTTGTCCGCATATGAGCAAAGAATTTATTAATTGAATATAACCCTCTTTGGATTCTAATGTTATGTCTTATGGGTGCTTTTAGGTTGGAGCTACTCCTGACTTGATGGTTGCTTACATTGATTTCTTTCTTGGTGGAGATGAGAAGCGTTTAGATATTGTAGCCAGTATACATAAAAGATTCCCCATGTGCATTATTTTTGGTGGGAATGGAAGTTACATGTCACCATATAATCTTTACAGTGACACATTATTAACAAATCTACTTGGCCAGGTCTGTTTACAGTCTAATCATAAATATATGTACATGCATGCATGCATACATACATATTAAAAGAACTGAAGTATATTGACAAAACCAAACAAGAAGGTAAACATTAGAACTGGGTGCATAACCAAACCCCACAAAGGAGGACTTTCCTTCATAGGATACACCAACAGGAAGGGAGAGCCTAGAATAAAAAACCAGTTATACTAGGGCTTGACCAGGCCACAAAAAGGTAAAAAAAACAAGCCGAATAGAATAGCAAACCGAAGGCAGCGAAAAATTCATCTAAAGGCCAAGCAAACTGATAGTAGGAAGAGACTTGCCATGCACACCCGAGTAGTACCCGACAACTCTAAACTTCTCCATGCTCTCAGCCACAAGACATGGTCATCCACCAATGCAAGCTGGGAGAGTCTGGGACCAATTTCGGTCAATCAACAGGCGCAGAAAATCACATCAGCCGCACATAGCCAACTCCTTTTTGTGTTACCCCGTAACTTTCATTTGTGTCCCTGCATGTTTGACTCCCTTTGTCCCAAAATAAACTTCAGTGGAAAGTAAAATGTGAGACAACCAAAAGGAAATTGTAAAGTTTATTAATCCCCCCCCCACCCACACACACACAAAGTATGTTTTCTGCCCTCTGGTGAGATTCATTAATTTATTGTTTGAATAACATTGACATTTGACAGATAGTCAGATACTAAAAATCTTTTATTTGTATTCAGCATGTTCCTACAACCGTTTGGAACCGCTTGGTGGCAGGTCTAAATGCCCAGTTAAGGACAGTGAGGCACAGATCCATTCAATCTTCTCTGATCCCTGTCATTACTTGGATTAGAAGTCATGCAAACCCTCAGCTATATTTTCACGGTGTTAAAATTGAGCTTGGGTGGTTCCAAGCAACTGCTGCTGGGTACTATCAATTGGGAATTTTGGTAGTGGTTGGTGATTTTTCCCTTCATGATGGTCTCCAGCAACCTGAAATGTCAGAAAGCAGTGATGATTGGTCCAGGTTTGTTCATCCCTCTCTCTCTCTACATTTGCGTGCATAATAATGTGTCTGGGTTTATGTGCTAGCATCCCAAAAAAGTGAGAAACATCTAGAATAAATATATTACACATGACTAACTATATTCAAATGTAGTTACACTGAAACTTTTGAATTGCTTTTTCCATCATACTCTTTAACCATATAAATGTTGGTGATAAACTATTCTCATCATGAGTCGGTGAGTGTCAATGCAAAGTGTTAGACAGAGTGAAGGAATGCACGCCGTGGCAATGGTGTGGACCGTGGATTCGAACATGTTGAATCTATGGCATTTATTGAAGTAATTGAACAATGCCACATACGCTACTTCCTCTTTCCCAAACTTTCAGGGGCATCTCACATTACGAGGCGACTTAGCCTTTTACAATTCAGTTGTTAGTACGACCTCCTCCCAAAAAAGAGTTGTTCTATTGTGGCCCTAAGGTCCACATGTGTAATGTGGACCTTCTCACAAATTTTTCATGGGCTTATAGATGGATCTCTTAATTTTTACAAGGTCCAGTACATAAAACTATTTTATTTATTAAGGTCCATAAAATGTGTGTGGACCTGAGGACCGCCAAAGAATTTGCCCTAAAAAAGAGTCATGTTTGGCCAAGTTATGAAGTTTTTATTCTGGAGAGTTACAACTAGTGTAAATCATAATTCCAACTCATTATTTAAATTTTGTTGGATTAATTAAGTTTATCTTGTCTGCAACACTTTTTTTGGAAAATTATACGAAAAATTTGTTTCAATCAAACGTGACTTCTACAGAAGAGTTTTATTTAATTTTTATTAGGAATAAATTTTACATCTTCATAAACTATGCTAAAAGTTCTATTAAACTCTCAACCCAAATTCAAATACTCCATATGATAAACATTCTCTTGTAGAAAACAAGCAAATCTAGAAGAAATGCTGACAGCATGAGTAGTTAAAGAGACAAATAAAATGGTAATGTGGTCCATTGCTACAATAATAATTTCTGTTGCAGCCCAGACCACCCCCACACCACAAAGAGGGAGGAAAAGAAACTGATGTGGAACTGTATTTCAGGAGAATTAACACATTTGTTCGGAGAAGTTTTGTGCAACAAGAAAATCAGACATGTTGCAGTCCAACGGTGTCTGTTAAAAGGACCACTGGAGGAATTAATGGTGGTATCATAACTGAAGCTACAATGAAGTCCTTGGTTGTCGGGAGAGATTATTTTTTACCTTTTTCCCTGCTGCTGCACAATACACGCCCAGTTGGTCGTCAGGTACTTCAAAATTTTGATTTATGAATATAAAATACTCCCTTCATCCAAGAAAAAGACTCCACTTTGATGACTTGTTTTAATCCCAAAATGAAAGTATTATTCGAAGCATAACAACCCAGCATAATCTCAACTATGTTGGGGGTCAAGATGTATGCAACCTTACCCTCTTAAAATAGAGAGGTTTCCCTTAGACCTTTGATGCATTGATTAATTTACTGCCCCAAGCTTCATAGAATGTAAGAAGCAAGAGAAGTTTAATTTGCCATTTTGATTTTTTAAATTATTTACCCAAAGCTAAAACATTGTCAAAAATGACTCTTTTAGGTCTATTGGAAATGGACTCATAAGTCTTATTTTAACAAACAATACTAGTTTTTATGACATTTGATTTTTTTCAAAGAATCTGTACTAAACAAGTTAAATATGTTAAATTTAGGCTAACTGGCAAATGGATTTGAAGAAAAAGCTAGCTAGCAGTGATAATTTTTCAATAGTTATACCTGACTTTAGAAAAATGTATGAAATATTTGCATGCTTGCGTGCAAATGTGTATGGCTTGTTTGGAAAGATATTTTGCTTTCTAAGGCTCTGAGCATAGTGCAAACTGTATTCCAGGACACTGTGCAGTTGCTCATTACGATGATGCTCTTGGTGGACCTATTTATCACCATCCTAACCTTGCTTCTATTCTATTGGATATCTCTTGGAGCTTTTCTGGCCGTTCTGCTTATCCTCCCGTTGTCATTGCTTTCTCCTCTTCCCGCTGGCGTGAATGCCTTGTTCAGCAAAGGTCCACGGAGAGCTTCACTTGCCAGAGTTTATGCATTATGGAATGCTGCCTCCCTGTCAAATGTTGTAAGTTTTGACCTTAACTTATTTGCATGTTCCACAAAAGCTGTTTGTTTTTTCGTCTTTTTCTTTTCTTAAATGGTAACATACCATTTAAGAAATGAAACATTACACACATCTACAGAGAAGAAAACACAGTAGCTCACCTACTTGCAAAGAGTGCAATTTCTGCAAACAATTACACTACCTACAATCAATTTGTCCATCTCCCAAATGCTGTAAAGGGAGCAATTAGAAGTGATGTCACTTAAACTTTTATTAGACTGAAATAAATTAATAAATTTCTTTCAATATATATTTATATACACACACACACACACCAATATATATTTATGTGTGTGTATACCAATAGATTTGGGTTCTAGTGAGAATGAGATCTTAAAGAAATGAGAATGCATGTGGTGCTTTAGAATGTGAGATCTAAGGGCCATAAAAATTGAAAATAAGAAAAAATCAAGAAAAACACGGTGGCAATGTTGTAATTAAATCAGACTTTGTAAAATGCACCACTTGCTTTGAAAAATGCACCATGGCGAACTACCTTCTTTGTAAAATGCATCATTGGCAAACAAAAATGCACCATTCTCATTTCTTTCACCAAGGTCCATTCTCACAGGAACCGGCCCGTACACACACACACACAGATATATACACATACACATACATACACACACTCTCCCTCACATATTGGAAAGTAGCTTAAGTTCTTATGTTTTTCATTGTGTTTTAATAGTTAATCGATGTGGGGTGACAGTACATTACTCTCAAACTTGTGAAGCTCATGTATATTCCTGTTATATGTGTTTTTTGGTTAATGATTCATTTTAATTCTTATGATCATTCCAGGCTGTGGCTTTTGTCTGTAGTCTTATTTATTATGGGTTTTCTGCTTTGAACCCCCCTAACACGGCAGATAGGTGGAGTGCTAGACGGTGAGGTTTCGTACCTTACCTTGTTTAAAATATATGGGGGCCTATTTGTGGTTAAATCCTTACTTCCAAAGCTTTATTGGGGAGGATTGGTCCTCTGGTCTAAACTTGTGTTTCACCACTCTGTCACACTGAGTGGAGTGAGTGCGATTGGTTCAATAGTTAACATTATATTGCATAAAACTTTTTTACTTCACGTTAAAAAATCTATTTGACCAATCAATGGACCACAATTGTGGAACTAGGATCAGTCTGTGGTTCTTTAAACTAAAATACAAATTGCGTTGAAGTTTGAAGTAATTACCTATCGTTTCAATGGGGATTGTTTCCAAACAGCCAGTCATCTGGCTGTTTCATTAGTTTTCCCCTTTTATGTTGCTGGAATTCTTGGAAATAAGTTGTGGAAAATGTAGTACAACAATCCGGTTGGATCACACTAGTGTAGGGTCTAGAGAGGGTGTGTGTATGCAGACCTTACCCTACCTGAAAGTAGGGCTGGACACGGTACCGGTTCGGTACCGTCACCGGAAACGGTACCGCCGGTACCGAGCACCGTAACGCACACCGGCACGGCGAAACGGTTCCGAGAACCGGCACCGGTACCGCCACAACCGGTCTCAGTTCCGGTGCCCGAAATTCGTTACCGGCACCGCCGGTACCGGTTATTTTTTTTTTCGTTTTTTGCTCCTTTTTGCTCTCCATCTCCATCCATCTCCGGCCAGGTGCCTTTTTCATCTCCTTCTCCATCTCCTTTTTCAGCCTTCTCCATCTCCTTTTTGCTCCTTTTTTCACAAAATTCAATAAAAAAGCAAAAAAAAAAAAAATTGGGGGTGGCCGGTCCGGTACCGGAACCGCCGGTCCGGGTACCGGAACCGGTACCGGCAGGTCCGGTCACGGTACCGGTACCAAGGGGTGGCGGTACCGGAACCGGAACCGTACCGTGTCCACCCCTACCTGAAAATAGAGAGGCTGTTTCCAGGAGGACCCTAGGCTCAAGTAACACATATAGCACAAACTCACAGAAGACACTTACAATAGAGAAACACAAGCACAAAAAGTCAAGACAAGTAATATTAATGAGAGAAAGGCATAGCAAGTAGAAAGCACAAAGCAAAAATTGAGAAAACTACCACCCTATTCAAGATATCTACCCAACTACCTTAATCCTTGCACTCCAAAAGTTCCTATCTAAGGTCACATCCTCGGTAAGGGTCAGAATTCTTAGGTCCTATCTAATGACCTCCTTCCAATTCCTCCTAAGTCTCCCCCTACCCCTACACTCACCCTCCACCGTGAGCCTCTCACACCTCCGCACTTGTGTCTCAACACTTCACCGTCTCACATGTCCAAACCACCTCAACCTAGCTTCCTACAAACCTATCCTCGAAGAACCTTGTTCCAAATTCTATCTAACCTTGTCTTTCCACACATCCACCGCAACATCTGCATATCATCAGCATGCAGCCGAAGAACATGGGTCTTCTTAACTGCCCAGCACTCCGCACCATACAACATGGCTGGTCTAACTACAGACTGATAAATCTTACCTCTCTTCGTAGCCAAAATCTTCTTATCGCACAGAACCCCCAAAGCCAACCTCCATTTTGCCCAAGTCGCTCCAACACAATGTGTAACATCTCCGTCTAACTCTCCATCCGCTTGACGACCGATATAGGATATCGAAACTTGTCAACTTTGGGCATGGGTTGGGAATCAATCCTAACGTCCACCTTTGAATTCGTCATCTGGGCACTAAAACAACATTCTATGTATCCAGTCTTGGTCCTACTCAGTCAAAAAAGCCTTTAGATTCCAGGGCAATGTGCCAACGCTTCAGCTTGACATTTAGTCCCTCGCATGTGTCATCGATCAACGCAATTATCGTCAAGAAATAACATGCACCAAGGAAACTCCCCTTGAACTCCTTGTGACTAGACGTCCATCTCCCGAGCAAACAAAAGGAGCTAAGGGTGCCCACATGGGCAGCTCACTAGTCTCAGACGTGGAATTTGGAACAAGAGACCAAGGATCGAGTCTCACCAGCGGCAATGGGGGGCTCCTTGTGCGCTGGTCCAAGCCTCTGTTGCCGGTTGAGTCATCCTGATTTATATCCTCTCCGTCGGGCAGGGGTGAGGGGCGCCCAGGGTGAGCAATTTCGTCTTTTGGAATAAAAGGGGCTAAGGGTAGACCCCTAATGTAATCCTAACTCTACATATCCTTGTAGTCTACTTTATTAAAAATTGTGCTAATCTTATATGTGAAAATAATTATGAGATTGAGGGAGTAATATATTTTTACATGCAACGTGAATGTGGTTTGCAATGCAGGGAAGATGACAAGCCATGGATCTTACCTATTCTTCTGCTGGTAACCAAATTAGTTCAAGCTCGGTTTGTGAACTGGCACATAGCAAACCTAGAGGTCCAAGATTATTCGGTTTTCAGTCCGAATCCCGATACTTTTTGGGCGTACGAAGCTGTTTCTTGACATTGTTTGACCAGAGGAAAATCACAGTTTGATAAGCCAACAACAGACACAGCTCCATTGCCCATCCATGTACATGTGTTTAAAATTTGTACAAAGGTTTGGATATTTTATCTGTAGTACTACTTATTTGTAGTGTGCAGGTTTTTCCCACTTATTTTGGGGTATGACTGTATGAGTAGAAGAAGAGAAGAGAGGGTACCAGTGATATTTTTATTCTTCGTTGAGTAGAATCAGTAGATATGCTGTATAGATTTTTTGTGGAATAATATATTGATGTCATAAAAGATGTCGGAAGTTTTATTTATTCTTTCTTTCTTCCTCCTCATTTATAGCCAAATTCCGTAGTTTAGATATGGAAAACTTAATAAAAATTTCGTAAAAAAGATATCCATTTCATTCTTAGATCTAAGGAGTACATTTTTGTACAAACTTTGAACTACGGAGTACTTTTTCTGTATCTAAGGATCTCCTCATGAAAAAAAATAGTAGAGTATAAAAATAAGATATTTCAAAATAAAGATTCTAAGATATGATTTTAATTTAAATTAATAGCTAAGTATATTTATATCTCTAAAATTCAATCAAAATTTGAAAATAATGACCATTTCATTCTTTTCTTTTTTTTTTGCAGTTTTTTTCTATATCTAAGGAGTACATACTTTGAACTAATATTTCTATATTTAAGGATCTCATGAATAAATATTAGAGTATAAAGTAGAACTAGTATTTCACCCGTGCGATGCACGGGAAATGAATATAATTACTCCCTCCGTCTTATATCTTTCTTCCCGTTGCACAAAACGAAGAAAAATTTCAAGTTTTTTCAATCTATTTTATTTAAATATTGGTATAGAAATAAAAAATAAAACATACATATTTAAAAACTACATCAAAAGTTTAACAAAGCAAGTGGTGACAAGAATATTTTATTTTATCATATAGGCCATGAAAAAACACAAATAAATATAAATTCCCGTAAAGTTGGAATAGTGCTCTGGGAAGAAAGTTTTAGGACGGAGGGAGTATAATTTGATAAATATATAATTTATATAAAGAATAAAATTTAAACTTTAAAAGTTTTAAAATGTCTAAATATAAATTATTGTCCAATAATACACATATTCATTATTATTCTATGTTAAATGCTATTAAACACAAAGAGTAAAAGACAAGAAAATTATTTTTATTATAAATTCTTCACTTTAGAAATGAAATGATTTATCTAAACGATTAATATCAATTGTCTCTTAATACATTACCCTTGGACCACTCACAAAGGTAGTATGCTTATATTTGTGTGTATCTCTGTAAATGTTTACACAAAGTTCACCTGATAATCAATATTATACTTTATTAAAAAATGGTGTAAGATGAATAACTCCAATTAAATATTTAGATACTTTTGAAATCTGCCACAAATTAATGACCTTAGTCTATGTGTTTTATCATTTCTGTTCATCAAATGAGGGATGATACATGTGATGAATAACATGACAATTCAAAGCTCTAATAATTTAATGGTCAAATCAAAGATGAACAAATTAAACATGGATTCATTTTTTGAACTGGTATGTATTTAATTTTGTCACATCTTCAATTAAATACGACACAAAGATTTTTTTTATTGTATAAATGTTACTTATAAGTCATGACATTAATTAATGAAGAATGATACAATGAACAATATCATAAACAAAGGTTTGATCATCTTGTTGAGAACAACATAAACATAATACTCTGTATATGACATACATACATTTTTTAATAAAAGAACAAAAGAAAACAAAA